TCTATATATATATTCCCATATAGTTCAACCCACCACCAAAATTTCTAATTGTAAACAGGCTTCTGCTGATATCAAGCGGAAGCTTTCATATATGGACCATGCATTATCATTCACTAGTCAAAGAGAGAGGCTTGGGAATGGCAACTCCAACTCTAACATTCAATATATTGTTCAGCACCCGCATGCGATGCAAAGCACAGCTGCTGTTGAAGGGAATCCGGCTAACTCTTTCTATTTCAGCATGAACAACAAAGCAACATTCCTTCAGGCCTATTTATATCATGGCCAAGTACATTATAGCTATCTTGTTTAATTCTCTGACCGGAATAGTCAATTTCCAGCAATAGTAACCATTTTTCAAGCTAAACCGCAAGGAAGAACCTAAATAATCGGGCTGGCAGATACTCTCCTCCTTCAAACTAGAAGCCACCATTGTACCTTTGCAAGCACAGTAGTACGGTGCCGCTTCGTCAAGAGTCAGGGTACGGTGGAGTTTGAAGGTGACGGCGCGCATTTGTTAGGTTGGAACTTTGATTTATATTAGATAAGATTTGTCAAATCCAATAAAATCATATTTATCAAATCAAGTATATATAAAGTGCTAGTACAAAATACATTCATCTTGTAAATAAATTTAATAAATCTGAATTTACATGAGAAGTTTAGAGAATGCGAAAAAAATTTTATTTAAAATAACATTGAATTTAATTTGTATGTTTTTAATGGTTGGGTGGATTTAAATTAAATCCTGTCAATCATATGCTATCAAACACAGAATTAAATTTTCAGTTTAGTTCCATGAAAAAAAAAAAACAGAAATAAGAGGTAAAGTGAGAATCGTAAAAGAAGAAGAAGAGTGCATTAAATTTCTATAAAATTTTATTGCATTTTCTAACAAGCAATCCGTAAGCAAAATCACTAAAATATTCACTTAAATTAACACCAAACTTAGCTAAAATTCCTCTCCCTTGCTACCTCTCCAATCACTTTTGCGCCATTACTTTTTTAATCATCACAAGGAGGTGGAAGATTAAGATCCACATAAAATGTCTTAGAATTATCCTCTTTCTTCGTCGGCTCTGATTCAATCAGTTGGCGGTGCTTCTGCATATGTCCGCCAAGAGCATGGTCAGAACTAAACTCACTACTGCAGATAAAATATTTGTGGCTTTTAACCTTGATCATGACTGGCGAAGTGAACGAGTATTCATTCAACACCCCCGATGCGAGGGGAATCAAAAGTTTCGGTTTTTTATTATGGCTAGCACGATGCCCGCCAAGCGCCTGGTGTGAGGAAAAAAACATATTGCAATCTCGACATTAGTGGACATTATTTTCGGCCTTGCCGGTGGTGGTGGTTGTCAGCTCTGCGACTCGCCCGCTCGTAATGTTCACGGCGATGGTCGCTTCCTCTATTTCATTGAGCTTTGGTTTGTAGCCACATTCGGCAAGGAATATGAGGCAATTAGCCATCTCTTCTTCTTCCTTAGTTGGGCTCTCAGAAATCTCCGCGAAGGTTGTTGGAGACAATATAGATGATACTACGTGGGGCAAAAGATGATGCCTTTGCTGCTTGGTTCTCTTCCCTTTCTTTATGGTGGATTCTTCCATTGATGGGTAAGAAAATAACCTGCACTTAGAGAAATGAAGGGTGAGGAAGGTGAATGGTGGCTTTATACAAGTAATTAGAAAGCAAGCACCTGTGATGTGGGTGTAATGAAACCATGAACACTTTAGTAAGCACTAATAAAAAACAAAATAAAAGCAGAATTTTACGGGGAAGGATGGGCTTGGAGCAAAGATAGGGGAATGAAAATTAGAATTTTTTGCTGTGTATTCTATTTTGGGATGATTACATCAGGACCTCTTGAAATATTAAATTTATAGGTTAATCATTCAACTGATTTTCTTGGAATATGGAACCTATATATTCACAAGTTACAGACGGTTAAATTACTGAGATTTTGATAAAAGTAAAAAATATGTGTTGGAGTTTTAACATGAATTTTGATAATTGAGGGATAATTTGAAAAAAGGATGAAGAAGGGGGGTTGATTTGTAAATAGCAAGCTTTGGGTGGTTTGTAAATGGTCTCAGCTTCTCTTTATATATGCGTGGTGCATGCTTGAGATCTAGAGCAGAGAGAGAGCGAGCGAGGTCAAAGCGTGTGAGCTGTTATGGTAGAAAATTTGATTATCAAATTAAGATTCTAGAGATATAAAATAGAAAATTAATTCATGGAACATATTTATATGTTCAATATGTTGTCAACAAATTTTCATCATCAAGTACGAATCTCGAGGTGTGGCACGGATCTCCAGACATTCTTTTGAGCAAAAAAATATTCAAATTTCAATTCAGAGTCAACCAAAGCTTTGAATTCAGCTAACTTACTATCAAACTGATAGGTTCGACGAGACAAATCCAATGATATTAAAATTGGTCAAATCCAAATCAAATTAAGCTTAGATCAAGCTGTTAAATAGCTTTTGCGAGAGGGAGCGAACGAGCCTCTATACACCGTGACGTCGTCACTGCCCTGACGATAACGAGGAGCTCCGTCGCGGCTTCCAACAAAAAAGAAACAGGAGCCGGCAAGGTTGTAGCGGCTCGAGTCAACAACTGCAAAAGAGAGGTGTCAGCTACACAGAAGAGCGAGCCATGCCAAACTCAAGCTCCACATGAGAAGAATCCAACTAAAGATACAGTTTGGCAGCGACGAACTCACCGGTGGGAGGCAGCCGGCGAAGGGGAGTTCGACACACGTGCTGAACCATCGGAAAGCTAGCTAGGACATCGTTAAATTTGCCCCTCTTTCTATTTCTTTAAAGGAAATTGGTAGACGAATCTGGTGAGATCTTTTAAAACATACGTGAGAGCTTTGAGTGACGAAAAAAATGGGCGGTCAACCACCGGCAACCATGTCGCTGGTCGATGAGGTCTTTGACAACGTGGTCGCTAGTGGTTGGAAGTTCGGGCGTGCAGAAAATAAATTTTCCGTACAAAAGATTTTTATAGCATCAAAGTGAGCACCAATGAGGTGACCAAATTATTTTGTTGCAATTTGCAGATTTTAAAAAATATTGGTTATTCTTTTAATAAAAGCATATTTAAAGCAAATATTGGCAAAAATAGGTATATACCACGCATCTTATTGCATATCATAGGTAATTTCAACACTTGATAAATATACATACCAAATTAAAATGATTTTACATATCTACAAAAACATTTCTTTCAAAATAAGTATACAAATTTCATAAAATATAGATGTGGTCTCTCCCTTACGTTCGCAGCTTCTTAAAAGAAGAGGTGTTTACATATATATACCCAAATTACTATGTATTTACACAATTAACACCTAAATTTTAACTTTTGGGTTATACCAACCGTGATTAGTATTTATATTAAAAGTTATACCTTGAAACAGTAGCACCAAATTAATAATTAGTTAGTCAATCACATCAGAGCCCAACTAAGGAAGAAGAAGACATTGCTATTTGTCTAATACTCCTTGCCACAGGTGGCTACAATCCAAAGCCCAACAAAATAGAAAAAGCAACCACCACCATGAACATTACGAACTAGCCATTCGCAGAGCTGGCAACCACCACCACCATCGGCAAGTCTGAAAATAATGCCCACCAACGTAGGGATTGTAATATGTGCTTTTCCTCACACCAAACACTTGGTCTAGCGATAGGATTTTTGGAACATACCACCCAATCTTTATATATTTACATATGTAGCACCAAAATTTTATTATTTTAAAATCTGATGTGTATTTTGACCCATGCCACCCAATTCTCATTTATTTACATGTATAACATCTAATTTTTCTTTTTTACAATTTAATAAACAAAATTTTGTACATCATTTGATTTAAGTCTATATATTATTTATTTATCATTTAATTAGTTTGAGCCAAAAAGTGTCGAACATGAGTATTCGGCTCATTTGATTATTGAACGAATCAAACACAAGCTACTTAACACGTGGAACACGAATTGTTCGACAAACTTTTTTGCCAGCCACAACAATAAGGAGGTTAATGAAACGGTAATAATAATAATAAAAAAAAAGCTATATTTTAACTTGTTGTGCACTCAGTGTGGGTCTTCATACTGCAAGGCTTAAAATCCTCAAGGTCTGGAGGTTTTCGAGGCCAAGAAGTGAGGAGGGGGCTGTCCATAAACACCTTCAGAACAGATTGATATTCAACGGCCTTTTGCTGCAAGTAAAATAATATCCAAATTAAATGAATTGAGGATATAATTGCAAATAATGCAAGTGAAAGTTATAACAATTGGAACAATCACTAATTGTCTTAGAAAGAAATTTACAGCGAATAAATTCCCATCATATCTTCTCTCTTCTTTTAAGCAGCTGGCACAGTGCAAGAGAGATACCACATTTGAATTTTATTTACCTCAAATATTTACCTCAAATATTTAAATAAATTTGAAATAAAACATGAAAAAAAAAAAATCAAACATAATTAACTTCAATCAAACCCTAGAGTCGCACTGAAATCAGCTCAATGAGGGAATATTATAAAATTATTATTTTATGCTAAAAATTTATCTTTTTCTCGACAAAACATTGTAATTTTCAGAATTTCATATTATGAGCTGCATTTAATTCATTATCAAAATGTGAATAGCATGAAACAAGTTTTGGCGACTATTAGATAATTTTTTACATGACATTTTGTATGACGAGCTTTCATGCATGAGAAGTTGTCCCATGTAAACATTTTTCCTAAAAAAGACATTTGCGAAAACCCTCAAGACATGGACTTAATCGCGTCATCAATAGGATTTCAAAATCTTAACCTAAGTTTTATTCAAATCTTCATGGTCTAATTGATCTTTCTAAAGGTGCCTAAACAAAAGATAGAAATACATTTCACCGTTAATAAAAAGAAACATTTACATACATACCACCCAATATTTTTCTCAATTACACCACGGAATCTTTCATATCACATAAAAAATATTATTATTTTAACTTTTAAAAAGTTAAATGCATCTTTTCATGCATAGGTGACATGGCATGAATGTAAAAATGGAAGTTCAGGTGTTAGATATGTAAATACAAAGGAATTAAGTGGTATGTATGTAAATCTGCCTAGTAAAAAATACGGCCTAATAAAAAATACGTTCAACATCATGAAGGCATCAATTAGGAGTTCATTTTGAATACGCTCAAAGGTAGATTCTTCTCTCCAAAGTTAATGTATGGGGTGGTAAGTCTTGGTTGATGCCAATTCCCAAGTCCTTAATGTATAACTTACTAAAAAGTTTGAATGTTTTGAAGGCAATTTATAAAAAAAAATCCCCCCTCTCCTCTTCTTTTCATTTTCATGGGTGATGTCCTCCACAAGGAGCTCCATGCAACCGCCAAAGATGGATGAATTAACGGTACAAATGTAGTAAGACTAATATTATTAATATATTCAATTTGTTAAAAGGGCATCCTACACTTTTGTGAAGCTGGTTATAATCCAATTTTGGACCTTAACATATTTTTCTTCTCTATCAAGATGTTTTTGCACTCAAAATTAAAATTTTCACTTGAATGTTTCCAACTTGGTCGCTTTACTCTTCGAATTTTATGCAAAATAACCACACCATCAGAATTATTGTGTAAATGGACAGAAGGCTGATGCGAGAAATAGGATTAAAAAGTATAACTGTCTTTTGCATATTTCTACAGCACCTAAGTTCCTTTTCTTTTTATAATCCCAAATCTAATTTCTTGCTCCAGTTCCATTGTTGAATGAGAAGAGCCAAGAAGACTGGAGATTGATACGGGATTGCTAAAGCTAGTAAAATAAATGTTAAGCTTCTCAAGTCTTGTCTCCATCTCCGTCATTAAAGGAGCGAAGTTCATCTTCGTTGCGTCTCACAAAAATCATACTCAGTGGAGACACATACTTGTCCTCATGTTGGAGAGCTAACTACAATACGCATTCAACTACTCATCAATCTCAATCAGTGATGAGCAGCCTCACTTCAATAGAAGTATTTAACAACAACAAACCTTTATTCTACTAAGTGGGGTCACTTACATGAATAATTTACTCCAATATGGCCTATTGAGTGTCATATTTTTATTTAAATCTCATAAATTAAAATCATTTTTTTACAACATGCCCAAGTTTTTTTTAGATCTACCTCTACTTTTCTTAACTTGTTAAATCTAAAACATCTACTCTTCTAATTGGATCATTAGATGATCGAAATTTAATGTGACCAAACCATTTAAGAAAACTCTCTCTAATCTTGTCTGTCACTGGAGCTACACCAATGCGCTTTGCATTTAGTTTCTAAGTGTAAGGCCACTCATCCACCTAAGCAATCTCATCTCATCAACACTTAGTTTTATTGTTCTCTTTCATAGGCCAATGTTCCATGCCATAAGGCATTACATGTCTCACCACCAGCTTATAAAATTTTTCGTTAAAGTCTAAGGATTACTTTTCTATCACACAATAGGCTAGATGTATTCCTCCACTTCAACCATCCAATGTTAATTCTACTAATAACATCCCCATCTATGAACAATATACCCAAGATATCTAAAATGTTTACTATTTTTTAATGACTTGATAAACCATTGTTACAACCCTGCTACTACATCTACTACTACTAAATTTACATTCAATGTATTCAGTTATAGATTTACTTAAACGAAATCCTTTAGACCCTAAAATTGACCTCCATAATTTGAATTTTTCTTTACTCATTCTCTAGCCTAATTAACAAAAAGGATATCATTAGCAAAAAGCATACTCCAAGGTCATACACCAAGGTACAACCTCTTGTAAATGTCTAGTAAAAAATACATAACTAAAGCAAAATGATATGGGCTTAAAATTGATCCCTAATGTAATCCAAGTGAAATAAAAAAAAATATCTGATCAATTCTCCTTCTGTTCAAACGCAATATCTTTAATGACTTGCTATTCAAGTCATATCAGCACATTTCTTTTTTAGAACTCTCCAAAGAAATTCTCTTGAAACCTTATCATAAGTTTTTTCTAAATTAACAAAAAACATATGCAGATCCTCCTTACTCTATTTGTACTTCTCCATCAAACCTCTCAAATAGATATATAGCTTCCATATTAGACTTGCCCGACATAAATCCAAACTGATTTTAAGTAATATAAAACAATTTCATAAATTTAAACCCCAAGTAATGTCTATCATGTCAACTTCTGTGAACTTCTTGCACATTCACGCAACAACTCTAATGGTGAGACAAATTTGGAACAATCTTAAAAATTTGATGGGCTATGTTGGGGCATTCAATAATTTGGAATAACAATAGCACCTTGTAAAAAATCTTAGAACCTTTTTTGATTTCCTGCCATTCAAATTTTTTGGGTATTCTTCAAGATTTTAAAGAAAAGAAAAAATAATCGTTGCAACTCCATTATTAACAAAAGTTATAGAAAACTTCATACTTGAAAATGCAAAGTCCTCTCTAAAGGTGGGAATATTGTTTAGATTAGCTCAACAATATTTTCTATTCCTTTGCTTCTCTTTCTTTTGGATTGTGAATCGGAACACCAACAAAATTTAGAAAAAGATTCTTGGGGAAAGGAAATGATGAAGCAGAGATATCCAGACAATCAACTGGAAGAATTTATGTAAACCCAAAAAAATTTTGTAAAGCTTGGCGTTTCGAATTTATGTAAAGGCACTAATGTCACTCATTTTATTAAAAGATGTCATCAAAGTATCATATTCTTTCTTTCATCTCATGACATAGAATATCAATAATGGAGCAAAAATCAAATTTTGTAAGGTTGTTTGGCATGATTTGTCAACAAAGTACTTGGACTTTTAATCAGCTACTGTTTAATGTTTTTTTTCTCTATAATGTTTTCTTTTTTTGGTCAACTCTTAATTCTATAGCTTTATTTTTGTATCATTTTTTTCTAATGATGAGAACAGTTTTCCAGTAGCTTTTCGAAAAAAATGAATAAATAAAAATTTCCAAATTCTTTGTTGATGTGAGGTGGGAAAGAAAATTTTTCATTTTAATCAGCTAATTAGCTAGACCAAAAAGGGCATTCAACTACAAAATAAAATAGTTAAAAAACTTTAAAAGCTCGGTGTGAACAAAATTTAATATCAGTTATCAAATTAATAATATTGTTGACATCTTACCTTCAGTTTACGATAAGAAAATTCCTCCACAGGATATTCAAATGATATTTCATGTTTCAGTGACATGAACGCCTCCAATAGTCTTCTCCTGCATTATTTAAATATGCATGCATAAAATATTTGTAAATATATATGTCAACATGGAAAAAAAATAGAGAACAATAGAGGACAACATCTAAACAGGGTAACAACAAATAAAAATCTAATTACAATCATAACCACATACTTGCACACAGAAGATTCGGTAGATGGAAACAGGGAACCTTTGGAAGAAGTTCCTTGCTTCCTTCCGGTTGTCCCCAGTATAACTTCATGCAATCCGGATTTATTCCAGCAGATTGAGTACCTAAGATTAGAAAAATCATTATTGAAAGACCATTTAATCAAACATAAAAATGCACAGAAATATTATTTTAAAAATTAGATTCTGCATAAAAATTAAAGCAATATACCCGCATGTTAAATTAGGTGCATCATTTTCCAATTGCTGAAATTCTTTTGGTGGAAGAGAAGCCTCAAAAACAGGAAACTACCAAAAAAAAAAATTTCGTTTTAAAAAATAAGCAATCATTTAAATATTTAACAAAGCATTAGATTTGCAGTACCTTCTTCGGTTGAAATGTATTTTGGGCTATAAGGTTTATAGAAATTGCACGATGAAGAAAAGCCCTTTCTAAATGATTTCTCAGAGAAAATTCGTCAAATGCATACTTAGATTTTCCAATAGTCAAGGAAGAAATATACACTGGCTGCAGAATGTTAAAAAGCAAGGCACCTGAAATTAAATAAGGTTAATTGAGTATGATTCTCCAAATATTTCAAGAAAATCATGAATTTCATGTGCTCAAGATACTGACACTAACTAATTATTCAAAAAATTTCAGAATTTTGCTAAACAGTTAAGATCAGAACGAATACAGTTATTAATTCAAGCAACTTGCTCAACAACGAAACAAAACAAGAAATGCTTGCTTAGCTTCCATACTTCAACATCTCTTCTTATTTTTTTTTCTCCCAAGAGCTTTTCAACTACCCAGAAAGCAATGTCAATATCTCATATAAAATCAAAACGATACAAATGTGAAACGTAAACGTCAAAAAGGAAACTATTTTTAAGCAATGCAGTTCTTTGGATTCTGCTCTGTTGCAAGAAAAATCTCAACGGAATCAAACAAAAAAGCAAAATTAAACCATGGTTTGATCTTTGGATCTCCACTTTAGAGATAAAAGGCAAAACCACAAAACCAAACAGTACATAATTTGGTTACAGATAGTATATCAAAAACTAATTATCAGGAAATCAGAGACCTTCCTTATACAGCAAACAAACAATTAATCTATACATAACTGTTAGACTGAGGCCGTCCACCAAATAATTTGAAAACTTATGTTAGGCGCAAGACTAAAAGGGTCATTTAATCATTTGTTAGTTATTATTATGGGGTATAAAAAGGACTTAATATGTCTAGGGTTATGTTATGTGTGATTGTTGTCTGGTTAGGATTTGAGAGAGATCAACTAGCTCTCGAATTGTAGGTGTTCGTCTTTTATGTATTCGTATTATATCGTTTTGATTTAGTACAGACGAAAAAAAATCAATTATTTTTGTCTTAATTCCTGCGGAAGCTTATCTGGTTCCTCTCAGTATCATCTTCATTGAATTTCAGTTCAAGAAAATTACAAACATAAAGCATCAAATTTTTAAACCATGAAAGAAAAAAAATGAAATTATCCACGAAATGTCCAAGTTATATATGCAAAGTCAAGAGCTTCTAGGTAGCAGAGATGTAAGAAAGTAATATTATATTATTCAGAAATCAAACCTTGGATTCCCACAATATTCCAACGGGTTATTTTATCAAAGCAACTCATCGAAAATGTTGCGTCACCGCGTCCAGGTTTCTTTTGAACGGTTACAGAAGAATTCAAAATGGGAAATAGAAGTTCCTCCTCTAACTGTTGAAAGCTTTTGACTGTTAACAGAATCATGAACAAGCAAGATACTTCCTATTGAGCTTCCAAATGGATAAAAAATATGGGTGCATTACAAATAGCAGCTATAATAGGAATTAATAATGCCAATAGAATTGGAGAATTGTTTGATGTCTCATTTTACAGCAAAATAAAATGCCAGCATGAGCAGTGATCACTATTTGATACATGGTCATTAAGCAGGTAATTTAAATAATAATAACAGTAATTAACAATGCAAACAAGTTTTCTAGTATTTTTAGTGAAACAATTTGTAGACAGACTACTACGGTACTTTTTATTCTCTCATTTGGCGCGATGTCTCCCTCTAAAAATTTTCTCAGTGAAAAATAATAGAAATCTTGTTTAAACAATTACTTTTTTTTTATATTATTTTTCTTTTTATATATAAGATATTTATAGAGATAAAATATCTATCTCTCTCTATCACTATATGGAAAGATAAAGATACATGTCATCTTTCATTATTTTCTTCTCTCTCTCTCTCTCTCTCTCTCTCTCTCTCTCTCTTTATTTTTCTCACTATATCTATCATATAGTGATGGAGAAGAAGGGAGAGAGCGAGATTTATGGACCTCTTATCTCTACATATAAAGATATTCAAGATAAAGACAATTCTTTTTCTTCAAGATATTACCACAAACATGGTGTGATGGTCCTAAAAGGAAAACGCATGTAAGCAAGCTTAAATGGATTTAATCTAAAAATTGAAAATCAACCGATTTACAATCTTCCGAAAAAAAAAAAAAAATTCAGAATAATTCTAATCACTTCAATAATAATCTCCAAGCCAATAAAGTGCAAAACATTCAAGAAGAGTTCTGATTGGGCAGGACATTTTCCTATGCTTTTTTTAGCTCAAGTCGAACCTACTTGCCATCCAAAATTACTTATTTTAGCACACTAATTCAACCCAAATCTGAAGAAAATTTTCTATCTAATCCATCTTAATTTAATTAAGTATCCCTATCAAACTATTGTATTCATATTCAGTGAGAAAAAAATTATACATGCCTTATCTGCTAAATAATTTTACGATTATGAAGGTTAGAATACAGATTCACCAGAATTTTGTTAATAGAAAGAATAAATGTAACCCAGAAGAAATCAACTATTAGGAATACATGTTACTTAACTTACTCCTAAGTTTTAAGCATTGATACCGGCATTATGAGCATAAATTTCCTTCCTGCACTGATTTATTGCTCAAAGTAAGCTAAGAATAATAACCAATCTCACTCATAGCCTTATACAAACTATCTGGAGTTGGCTTTAGGAATCGTTTTTTTTTTTTTTTTTGCCCAACGTGCAATCTACATGTTGCGCAAATTTTCTTACACAACTTCTAGGATACATCGCTTTTGAGCCTTATATTTTCCTTCATAATCCTTCACTACTAAATTTAATTAGCCATCTTATTAGTGTATCTAATACACTTTGTTCATTCTTAGATATAAAAAACTATTAAGCAAACAATTCCTGTAGTCATGCCATGTAATGAATTTGCAAGGGTTATCATTTCATCATATCTGCACCATTCATCTATGTCCATATCCATATCTAAGCTTGAAAATTTAAAATTCCAATGGATAACACTAAAATAAATAACAAATTGGCACCAACAAAAAAACTCTATTTATTAAATTCATACATTAATTTAGCATTATCAAAATGAAGATTCTAAAGCAAAAGACATTTTGAAACAATGAATTAAGTCTTCTTAATACACAAGCCTGTCAATATGCTCCTAAAAATTAACCAGATAGATACCAAACATTATGTTCTAACAAAAAGATAACCTTTAAGAACCTGAGACACTTTTCTTTGTGTGAGTAAAATAAATGGACAAGCCTTCCATACCATTTACAAAAGTACTTTCATAGGAATTGTGCACTTGCCTTCAACTAAACAAGTCTCTTTGAGGTCTCGTGATAAGGAAGCAGTGCCCAATGAGCCACCTAAAGGCGCAAAGAATAAGCAAAAGGAAGGTCATAGTGCAAGGAAATAGCACAAAAAATCTAACACCTAAACTTTATTTTTTACATTTATACCACCTAAATCTTTCATATGACATAAGACATAAAAAATATCACTATTTTGACATAAAAAATATCACTATTTTAACTTCTAAAAAGTGAAAAACACAATTTCATGCATATATATGGTGGTATGCATGTAAAAAAAAGGAAGTTTATGTATTAAATATGTAAATACATATAGGAATTGGGTGGTAAGTATGTAAATCTTCCAATATTAAACAGTAAAAGAGGGAGATAATCATCCTACACCAATGAAAATCAAACCAAAATTTAGCACAAAATCTAACCATACATGGCAACTGAGAAATGTATAAATGTATGCGCCAGCCAGGAATCATTTCATACTTGGAATTGCTAGAACCCTCCTGGGTAACCAAGCGAAAAAAAATATCTGACGCTTTTGAATTTCTTCGTCCATCACAACAATTGCTTTGAAGCCTCGCAATCTCTGAATAAAAGAACCTACTTTCTCCGAAAGATAAGACACTGGTGGATCTCGTGAAATGGGACTAGAAACGCAAACTAGTACTAAAAGGTTACCTCAGAAGGGATCTCCGCGCAACAATCTCGGCATGGGAGTCGTTGACGACGTCACCTTTCGAACTAAGAAGCGATTTTCCGATGCATTTGGTCCCCGTCCCTAGAGCAACGACTTCGAGATCTGAAAGAAAAAAAAAATAGGGTTTCTTAGATGAAGGAGGAGAGATGAGAAGAGGGAGTGTGGCGAAGAATACCATCGGAAGGAGAAGAAAGGAGGAAAGCAGACAAAACAGTGATTTCTCGCCCCTGGGGCTTCCCCTTTTTTGGAAGCGAATCATAGAGAGAAAAAACGGCGTTCGAGACTCTGTCTCCCCAGTTCATCTCGGTACTCGGAGATTGGCATTCCATCATAACAAGTTGTTCGCGATATCTTCACCTCAGCCAACCGTCTGGCGTCTCCGATGATCATCGGAGTCTCAGGGAATCTCAAGAGGTGCTGCTTCGCTGCAAGTAAACCCTAGAACAATTTTGTACTCTCACCCAAAGAAGCTACGGTGTTATTTTTATTTTACTATTTTATTTTATATCAACTTTAAAGTAATTTGTTAAATCATAATTAACATAAAAAAACAGGGAAATTTATATACATAGCATCCAATTCTTATGTGTCTCTAAACTATTATAAGATACACAATAAGAATAGGTTGATAATTTGAGAAAGAGAGCCATTGAGACAGATAAAGATACAGAAAGAAATAAAGAATAGAAAAGAGAGAGTCTCTCTCCCAATTTCTCTCTTACCTCTTACTTCCTCACCCACTCTCTCTCTCTCTCTCTCTCTCTCTTCTTTTACCTTTCTCTAGCTCTCTCTCTCTCTTCATCAGTATAGCTCTCCCACTATCTCCATTTATTTTCTCCTCCTATTCTCTTAAGCTCTGCCTCATCCCCTCTCCCTCTTCATTATCTCTATCTCTCTCACCCTCGCTCTCTCCCTCTTCATCCCTATCTTCTTACTCTCTCTAGCTCCCTTCCACTTTTTCACGCTCACAGACACTCTCTCTCTCCCCTTTCTCTTTCACTCTCACTTTCTCCCCTCTCTCTCTCTCTACCACTCTCTTGAAACATTAAAAAATCTTCTCTTTTTTTTTGCAACTTCTAATCAAAGAGTCCAGACAATATGGGAATTAAAAGTATACCCAAATACGGCCATGAACTCTAGCAAGGCTTCTACATGGGTACCCTCGAACTAAGCCCGTCTATCAATGTATGTAGTCGAACCGAATCCACATTTTGAAGTAGTTGAACCATGCGCTTATGCTAAAGTGGTCAAATTATGTCCACCTGTCGAAGTGATTGAATTGAGCTCATCTGCCAACATATTCGAACTAGCCTGAGGCAAACTGTCTACAATAGAAAACTATCATAACATTAAAAAACATAAATTCATCCTTATTTATGTCACCACCCGATACTTTACAATATTTTCATCAAAATATCATGGTCAAACGTAGTACCATACAAAATGTAATTTTATAATTCCTTTTTTTTTTCTTATGTATAAAGGAGAGATGATGGATCAAGAGGACAGACCCTTTCCCACAAACCAAAAACCCTTCCTCCAAATCCTTTCTTCATCCCCAGTGAAGCAAACAAGATTTCAAGCTCTAGAAACACATCCATTTTCTTAGTCCACACATTCCTCCTAAAACAAAAACTTTTTCAAGTTATATAAACTCATAGACAACACAAAAGGCCACCAAAATGATTCAACAAATACAAATCTAAATACAAACAACAGAAATTCTTTGATAACCAAAGGATAAGACTGAAAGTGTTAAATAAGAAATCAAATCAATAATAAGTAGTCCAGAGTCTCAAGGCCCGCCCGCGTTGTTTGGAGCGGCGGCGGCAAAACTTCGCGGCGACAATTTTGACATTTTAGCGTGAAGGAGGTTGCGGCTCGACGCTGTTCGAGTGAGAAAGATGTGGACTTGGAGGCTGGGGCGCTCTACCCCGGCTTGAGTTCCGGCGAGAACGAGCTCCGATGGGGCTTCATTCGCAAGGTCTACGGCATCCTCGCAACTCAGATTGTCCTTACCGCCGCCGCATCGGCCGCCACCGTGGTCTACGCTCCCATCAATAATCTCCTCACCAGATCTCCTTCTCTCGCTCTCGTTCTTTCCTTCCTGCCTCTTATCCATACAATCTTCACATCCTAACGTCTTTCTCCGATCTGTTTATCATTTGTTTTGCGATTTTCCATTTTGGTTTTACATTTTCAACGCTATCAATTGCTTGGGGTTATTTAAGGTTGTGCTGATGTTTGGATTTGTGATCTGAATGAAGATTTTATTGACCATATGAAATTCTGCAAGGGAGGATAGTTGACATCATTTCTTTGTTAATTGAATGAAATTCTGTAAGTGATCTGAATGAAGATTTTATTGAGCATCATGTTATAGCTAAACTAGATTTCTTTGTTAATTTGTATGGTTACTTTTTCTTAATAGTGAATTGGATACTTCGGGCGAGCCAAGACTTTTCTTCGAGAAATTGAAATACATCCTAGGATTCCTAACATTGTGCCAAATAATGAATTGTTAATTTGCATGCCTGGCTGTATTGAAAGTACATGTATATAAGAAATTCAGGGTGATTGAAATGCATGACTTTTAGAAATGTAACAGTTATTTGGTTGGATGCAAACCAAATGCATTTATTTTTATGTTTATTCTAATACATTTTAAATGATTGAAATGTGAAAAAAGGAGACAACAACAGGTGTTGAAGGAGATATATCATGAACAAAAAATGTAATAAATCAAAAAACATTTATTTGACACATAATTTACGAAATTTTGACTGTGATTTTCATGAATTGTGTTTTTTTTTTCTTTTTCCTTTATTACTTTCGGTACTCACTGTTAAGTTAATTGCGCATTTGAATTTTTGAACTATTTCGTAGTGAAATTCTGTTTCAGAAGTATAAAAAATATCATTGTCACAATTATGTTTTAAACAGTTTTATCAAACAGGTGTAGCATAGATATTATTCCATAAACAGCTGTTTCATAATTGTTTTCACACAGCTACACAAAAAAAACAGTCAACTTCCCCGCAGCAGCTTCCCGAGACAGCACAACTGCAACTGAAAAGCTGAGAAGCTAAGTTGCGTCAAACAGAGACCCTCACTATCAAGTATTAATTGAATTACATTGCAAGCACCAATGTGCCGGCAACGCACAAATAGAATTATTAGTCTCAATCAACCATATAAACAGCAGATCAATAAGTAAACTATACAAGAATTCTGATGCAGAAGAGCAGAAAAAACATTTATAAAACTCTTAATTTATCAGCTTATTGTTTCTTCTTTCATGCAAATTCAACAACATATTCCAACAAGAACATATCAGAAAATTCCTCGATGAAGAACAAGCTTTGCACAGCAAGCCTCAGAATAATTACGGTAAAAGGAAGGTTGTGGGCGAATAAAAGCTAAAATCTAATCAAATAATATTCATGAAAAATAAAAACATATTATTTAAAAAAACTATTTTTTGTCAGCACCAGCACCAACTGCTTCAGGAGCTGCTTTCAAACCAATACTGTTTTTAACTTTCTTCTCCAATTCATCTCCATCTAACCATGCAAAAACACCTTCCTTTATTTCTTTTATCAAACTCAACATTTTATTTATATCTTTGCTCGGACCTTTATCAATCTCCGCTCTCAACTCAGCCAACTTGCCCCTCAAACCCGCCGAGTCGACAGCCTTCTCTATCTCCTCAAAGATCACCTCATTCGCTTTCGTCACCTTCTCTACTAAAAACGGTGGAGCCGAGGGAGAGATCTTCGTGCTCACTCCCACGACCTCAAAGTTTGCAGATTTAAACATTTCGAGTAGATCGTCCTTCGCCTTATTTGCCTCTCTAAGCATCTCTTCGTCCACCTCTTCTCCCTTCCCCACCAAATCACGTGTCTTTCTCAGTAACTCCATCTTCTCTTTTGCCTGATTTTTGAGCTTTTCATTAATCTCCTTCTTGAGCATCTCCCCCTTGGTCTTATGTTCCTGTAGGGTGCTAATCTCTGATAACATTTTAAGCTTGTGTTTCAGCCCATCAAATGATCCAGGTGTAGATAAGTTGTTCTTAAATTCTTGCACAAGTCTGTTTACTCTGTCTTTTAGGGTTGGGCTGAGGCTTTGATTTGAGGGTGTTTTGGATAAATCTATTTTGAGGGATTCGAGTTTCTCCCGTAGTCCCATGGTGATGAAGGCATTGGTTGTCTCCTTGTCCACTTCTTGCTTCAGAAACTGTAAATCCTCGTTGGAGAAAACAGGTTTAGGAGACTTTTCCTTGGCCTCTAATCCTACCTTTAGCTTCTCGAGTTCCGCTTCGAGGTTGGCTGTTATTTCGGTTACATTAACATCCTTCTTCTTCATGTTACGTTTCATCTCTGGTTCGACATAGGAACCTTCTTGGAATCCACCGATCTGACGGAATTTCAAATGGCGATGGCTAAGTAGAGTCTCAGTATCCATTTCAGTAAGTTCCTGTAAAATTCCATGTCTGGTTAGAAAAAACTAGATGTTTGCATAGAATAGTAAATAGAAACAGTACATTATTGGCTTAAATAATCTCTCCAAAGTTTTAATGATATATATATTTTAAGTAAAAAATATAGCAATCAACGGCCAGGACTAGTACAACAAACATGAAAACGTTAAGATATATTTGGTAAAACAAGAAAGAATAGATTAAATAATTATTATATTAGAGAGATCAGAGTGGTGAAGAATAGATTTATGTACTATGGGTTTGTACAACGAAGTGTAAAATATTCAATAATAAGATGAATGGGGAAAAATTATGTGAAAAGATCAGGAAGTGAAACCGGTAGATCATAGCTACCCAGACAAAAAATTTCATATGAAATTTTTTGTCAAAATTAGAGCTAATCCAGTGTGTAACACTAGGTTGGAATGAAGCGAGCAGAAGGATTCCTAAAGTTGACCCAAAGTAATTGGCACAAGACTGGTGAAGATGACAAAGTAACAAGTTCTAAACAATATGAAAGCATTAAAGAGTGAAGGCAGAGCATGAACATGTTCTCAACTGGTCAAAGCTATATTTTTATATACTCTATTATTTCGCTCTACCTTAGATGCTGATGCGATAATAGGTAACTATATATCGATAAGAGTCAGAGAGAACGGGTTGGATTTCATTCCATAATTTATAAAAAATTTATACAATCCAAGAAAGCTTTCCAAACATATCATGGATATTGCATGTGGGCTTCTGCCTAAAAGGATAATGTGCAACTCCGGAACTAAAAATCAGCGAAGAAATAGTACAAAATTGCAAAAGATAGGTGGAAAAATTCAGCAAGGGCTGCTCATATTAAAATCAAAGGAAAACAAGCAAGATACAATGATGATCTACTGTTCAAGAGGTAGATCGACTATCCCCAAATCCTAGACATCGCTAGAAACACTACCAGAAAATAAAATATGCATCCATAAAACCTAGGTTATTAGCCCTAATACAACCTTTCCCAGCCCCTTCAAATCTTTTCCCCCAAAATTCCCTTTAATTTCTCCTCCATGCATTTATAGCCCTCGTTGGCCCCTCCTGTTCTTCGGATCACCCAGTCGAAGCTCCTTGTCGCAACTCACCTCGCCGCTGAGCCGCTCGGCTCCTAAACGAGCGAGGTGATCCACTTGTCTAACGCTCAACCAGTCCCGCCTCGACCAGTTGCGTGACAGGCATAACAATACTTTCCTCCTGAAGAACCACCTTGTCCTTAATGTGATATGATGGAAACTGCCTTTGGATCACCTCATAAGCTTCCCACGTTGTTTCATAATCTAACAGACCCTTCCACTTAATAAGTATCGCCTTTGTCCCTGCCCCTTAGCACACGCCTTCAACCTCTAGCGGTTCTAGCCTCACCACCATGCCCTCCGTCATCTTCGGGGGTAGTGAAAGCGAGGGTGTACCATCTGCGATCACACGCCTCAGTTGTGAAACATGGAAGATTGGATGTAATGTTGACTATGGTGGTAACCTCAAAAGATAAGCGACTGCTCCTATGCGCTTCATCACCTCGTATGGTCTAAATACTGTGATACAAGTTTTTCGCTCCTCCGCCTGGCCTATGTCTTTTGTCTGTAGGATCTTAGCTTCAAGTAAACCATATCCCCCGGTTCGAACTACATTTCTCTACTATGTCCATCTATGTTCATCTTCATGATCTGTTGAGCTCTCAGTAGATGTCCCTTGAGCTCCGTAATATTCTATCCCTCTCCTCCAAGTATTGGTCGACACTTGACAACGATGTAGTACTATGCCCATAGTATATCAGGTAGGGTGGATCCCACCAATACAAAATGACGCGGGGTGCTAAGAGGAGCCAATCTGCCGAACCAGTGGGCAACATTTCCTGCAAGGAACACCCGGTCCAGTGGATCGGACAAGAAGTGCTCGCTGGACATGAACGGGGCGGGACTGTCGCCCCTCCTATTACCTTCCTTACGTGAACCTCTCCGTATGGCAGAAAGCCGGAACCGCTTAGCAGACACATTGAGTCGTCGACATCTATTGATCGCATCCATGCAGGCTCGAGTTGTGGGCTTTAAGGTCGTAAGAGATTTTCACGAGCAAATGAAAACTTCAAGAATATCAGGGACCAATGTCTGAAGATGTCGACAAGACAGTATTACTAAGCAAGTGGATATTTGTTCCATCGGAGTTAGTTGTGAATTCGTAGGTGCTTAATGAGAGAGGCAGTTGTCTACGAGAGTCACGGTGGAGGATTAGCAAGCCACATCGACAAAGACACGACTCTAGCCCTCATGAGAGAACAATTATTTTGGCCCCGACTAACAAGAAATGTGGAGCGACATATCAGACAATACAAAACTTACCATCTAGCAAAGACGAGAGGGCAAAACGCGGGATTGTACACACCACTTCCACTACCAAATGCACCATGGGTGGATGTCAACATGGATTTCGTAGTGGGACTCCCGGGGACCCATTAGAACAAGGACTCTATAATAGTTGTGGTAGACAATTCTCCGAGATGGCTCACTTCGTTTCCCTGCCATCGGACACTAGATACCTATCACATCATTGATTTGTACTTTAGGGAGAATGTAAAGTTGCACAAAATTCCCATGACAACCTCCGAAGAGACATCAAATTCCCGAGCCACTTTTGGAGAAAACTGTGGGGAAAGCTAGGCACCAAGATCTAATTCAGTTCAGCTGCTCATACGCATACAAACGGACAGACAAAGTTAGTTAGCAGAAACCTTGGCAGCCTCCTGAGGTGTTTCGTGGGGAAGAGTATGAAGTAGTGGAATCTTATTCTAGCCCAAGCTGAGTTCGCCTACAACTGCTCTGTCAGCCAAACTACTAGACACACTCCCTTCGAGATTATGTACGGCAGCAATCCGCTCACACCACTTGAGTTGGTGCCACTCCTGCCAACTGCGAAAGTCACTGATGACGCCACAGAATGAGTTCACAAGATTCAAAAACTCCACGAGGTCAGCAAGAAGATTGCCAGGCAAAACCACAAATATCAGGTACAAGCAAATAAATCCAGGAAGAAAGTAACGTTACAGAAAGGCGAACTCGTGTTGATTCAATTAAAGGAAAGATTTATTGTAGTAGAATTGGGGAAGCTTAAACCCAGAGCGTATGGATCTTTCAGAGTACTTCGGAAGCTAAACGAGAACGCTTACAAGATCGACCTGCGTGGGGACTACAACATTTCAGCCGCATTCAATGTCGCCGACCTGACGTCGTACGTTGAGAAGCCAGAAGCTTCGAAGAATGAGGTCAAAGCTTCCCTACCCCGGGAGACTAACGCGGAGCGCCAGTCGGTCGAACCGACTGGCAACATTTTCGGCAAGGAACACCCAGTCAAGTGGAACGTGCAAGAATTGCTCGCGAGATATGTACAGGGCGAGACGACTGCCCCTCCTACTACCTTCCTTATATGCTCTTCTCTGTACGGAAAGTCTCTAATTATTATTTTCTAGATTTGGACTGTCGCACACCGTTCTCCTTTTGTGTGGGAGTTTACTTTCCTATTTCTTTCCTTTTTTGTCTCCATATGGGAGTCTATAAATTATTGTTTTATGGTTGTGAGGTTAAGTTTTTGTTTTCTGTGTTTAGATTTCTCCTTTAAAGTCTCTTCTCCCTTGCTAGGGTTATATTCGACGACGAGTGGTGATTTGGTTGTATCCTGCTCCGAGGTGGTGTTTTATCCTCCCTTATCTCCTCCCCAACCAGTTCCCTGCATCCCCATAGGTCGTTGGCCAACTCCTTTCCATCCCCACCGGACTTGTTGCCCATCTACTACAATTGTCCCTGTTGTCCAAACAGCTTCCTAACTTACCGAATCCCTTTCCCCACATTTCTACATGTTGTCCACCCCTCCAGACCCTCCACTTCAGACTACCCTATTATTGCCCCCAGTTGGGTTGTCCCAGCCCTCCAGATTTCCTACTAGCCCCCGACAACCC